GTAGTGTCACTGGGATTGTATGAAATAAATATAGTAGTCTGGGTAGGATATTCATTTTGATGACCGCTATGCGGCCGAACCATGAGATGTGTGGGTAATTCCAGGTTCGGAGGTCTTGTTGAATGCGTGTGAGAAGTGGGAGGAAGTTTTTCTGATATATGGCATTTGGGTCAGACATCACCCATATCCCCAGGTATTTCATTTGGGTATGGCACCAACGGAACGGGAAGGTCGAGGCTATATCCCTGTGTTCCCCGAGCGGATCTGTGATGTTGAGCAGTTCGCATTTACTCAAGTTAAGTTTGAGGCCCGAGAGGCGTCCGTATTTTTCGAATTCTTCCATTAGGCATGGTAGGGTGAGTCTTGGACGTGTAATGAAGAACAACATGTCATCCGCGTATGCGGCTACTTTATGTGTGGCGGTTGTACAGTTGTAGCCCGAGATATTAATATTTCGTCGGATTGCCTCCAATAGGGGTTCCAATGTTAATGCGAACAGTAGCGGGGACAGGGGACACCCCTGCCTCGTGCCATTGCGAATCGGGAAGGATTCCGTCAAGGCTCCGTTAACGCGCACCGCTGCCGTCGGAGTGCTGAATATAGCTCCGATACATTTCTGTATGTTGTCATTAAAGCCCAATAGTCGTATCGTCATTTCCAGGAATGCCCAGTCCACTCGATCGAACGCCTTTTCGGCGTCCGTGGAGAGTAGCAGGAGTGGTGTTCCATGTTGTCTTGCTAAATGTTGTATAGCGAGGACTCTCAGAGTGCTGTCTCGAGCCTCCCGTTCCGGTATGAATCCCGTTTGATCAGGGTGTACGAGTGTTGGCATTAGGTTGCTAAGTCGGGTAGCTAATATTTTGGTAAAGAGTTTTGTGTCCACGTTTAAGAGGGAGATGGGTCTGTAGCTGCTGCAAATTTCCGGGTCCTTGCCTGGTTTTGGGATTACTGTAATTGTGGCCGATAGAGATTCGGCGTGGAATGCATGTCCCTCAGTGATGGCATTGAGCGCCTTTGTAAGTTTGGGGACTAGTATATCTTGGAAGCGTTTGTAGTAGTCCAGTGTAAGTCCGTCGGGTCCGGGTGCGCGGCCTGTCTTCGTCGTTTTAATAGCTGTCTTAACTTCGTCTTCGGTGATCGGGCGGTCGATGTTCTCTGCGTCTTCGGTTGTCACCGTCGTGTGTAGGTGTTCTCTCAGAAAGCATTCCATGCGACCTTGTTTGATTCGCTTGCCTTCTTTGTCGCTTTGTGAGTGTGTACTGTAAAGTGAGGAGTAGTAAGTGAAGAATTCCTTGGCGATTTTCTCCGGGTTTTGGGTAGTAGTGCCGTTGCTTGTTTTTAATTTGTGGACTTGTGAGGGGTGTTGTTGTCCCCTGAGCATGTGTGCGAGGAGTTTGCCTCCTTTGTTTGCGTGGAGGTAGAAGAACCCTTTAGATCTGCGGAGTTGTCTCAGGTGTCTCTTGAGTAGTAGTGCGTGTAGTCTCCTTCTTTCCTCTAATAGTTCCCTGTAGGTATCTTCCACCTGTTGGCGTTTGTGTTGTGTTTCCAGGGAGCGGATCCGGTCCAGGATGGTTGACATAAGTGTGCCCGCCTCTTTTTTCCGTTGTGACGCGATTTGGATGAGCTTGCCCCGGAGTACACTTTTGTGTGCCTCCCATATTGTCATATCTGATACGTCTCCCGTCTCATTCTCGGTGAAATATGTCTGTAGAGTGTCGGTGACTTGGGCCCTTAGTGGAAGGTCGGTTAAGAGGGAGTCGTTGAGTCTCCACGTCGTTTTCGTCGGTCTTATGAGTGGAGATTCGAGGTCTATCGACACTTGTCCGTGATCCGACCACGTTGCAGTGTGTATGGATGCTCTCCTAAGTCTTATTAGTGCTTCTTGTTGCAATAATAGGAAGTCTATCCTGGAGTATCTTTTGTGTATTATGGAATAGTGAGTGTATTCTCTGTCTAATGGGTTTAGCGTTCGCCAACAGTCTACCAGGCGCAGTGTTTTCAGAGTATGGTTTATGGTTCTTATTTCTCTCTGTGGAATGCTGCTGTGTCCCGTTGAGGAGTCTACTTTAGGATCTAGTGTGACATTGAAGTCTCCTCCCGTGACCAGGGTTCCTTCCGTGAAGTCTGTTAGTGCCTTTAGTGTGTTCTTAAGGAATCTAGATTGGTTATTATTGGGGACGTAGATTGTCGCGAACGTGTAGCATCGCCCTGCGATATTCCCCTTTACGAAGGCGTATCTGCCGTTGTGGTCTATAAGGTGATCCTGTTCCTGGAATTGTAGACGAGCTGCTATAAGGATCGCGACCCCTGCCTTTTTCGCTGTGGGGTGGTTGCTGAAGTAATTAGTGGGGTATTGTTTGTTTTTGAGTGCCGGGGCCGCTCCCTCCCGAAAGTGAGTTTCTTGGAGAAGAGCGACTGCAACCCTCTCTCTCTGAAGGTCCCTCAAGAGATTAGTTCTGCGTTCTGGGAGATTCAGTCCCCTGCAATTTTGTGTGATGATTTTCATTGGGTCTGGTCTGTATGCCATCTTGCCCGTATCTCCGCGCAGCGGTGTTGTCTTGTCGGGTATCGGGGTCCCTCGTCCGAGTCTCGCTCTCTTGTGTACGTGAGAGTCGACCGAGGAAGCCCGAGCCCGTGGCTTGGTTCCTGGGTTTTGGTGTGATTCGGTGTCCCTGCGTCGTCTGGTGGTTAGCTCGAGGCGGACGCGACGGCCGGGTCAGGAGCGCCGGGGGGGGGGCGTTCGGGTGAGTTGCTGGACTGCGGTCACGTGTAGGGTGTCTGGTGTATGTGGTGTGTTGGTATTTGCTCTTGTGTGGTCTAGGGGAGTCGTCTGCTCAGGCTCAGTGCCTTTCGGTGATGTCAGGCACCGTGTCTGGTTCGTGTGGTGGGGGTGTGTGTTTCTTAATTGGATGTTGGAGAGTAGTATAGATGTGGTGCGCGTGTCGTGATAGTGTGAGGAGGCGATCCTCTCCGCGGAGAGGGAGTTCGTGTGCCTACGGTGTCGGTCGGGGGGGGCACCCCGGGTTTTATCCCGGTGGTGTACCAGTCGGCCTCCGTAGTATTAAGCGTGCGCACCGAAAGGGGTGGGTAGCGTGTCTGGGCCCCTATCTGTTTAGGCTGTGGTGCCTGTGTGGTATGTGCGGTGTTGGTTGTGGAGTTGATACTTGAGAAGGGTTGTGTATCGTCGAAAGAATCTGTTATTTGTGTAGTGTATATCCGTTTTGGGGTTGTAGCGTCCGTCCACTGTAGTTGAGGTGTTGTATAGTCATCACTAATGCCATTGATGTGTGTCCATTGTGTTATCAGCACTATGCCTGTTTGTTGCGCCTTTTCGGTGTCGTCGGTATCAGGTGGGGGGAAGTACCGTAAGGGTAATTTGCGTGTAGTCAAAGTGGGGGCTTGAGGATATCTCTTCAGGTTGTGTGCATTGTGGGTCTTCTACTCATTATGTCTGGGTTGTTTCGTCTGGGACATGTGGGTATATATATTCTTTTTTTTTTTTTTTCCCTTCTTTCCCCCCTCCCTCCTCTATGTCCTCTTGTCTCATCCCCCGTGCCTTTTGTTCCTCTAGGGGGTGGTGGGATGGTCGTTTGCTTAGTATCTTCTCGACATCAGTGTGTCGTCTGTGTGGGGGAATTGTGAGTGTATGGACCTCTTTGGAGGCGTGTTATCTATGTATGTCGGTCCCTTTGACGTGGGGGGGAGGGGCTTGGTCAGTGACACAGAGTGATGTTGCATAGTCTAGCCATTTAAGATAGGTGGCTCACAATAATCGTACTATAAAGAACAATCTCTGGTCTCACAATTACAGATTACATCACTGGGATATCTGGACACAAAAAATTAGTGTTCAGTCTCTGTATACAATTTAGTGTCATACCCTATGAACCTCCTCTCCCCTCCCCCTAAATTAATCTCCCATACAAGAAATAGTAGCAAGTCAGCTATACATTTAGTGTGGAATCAGTTCTTCGTCTTCACGAAAGTCAATGCTGCAGGAGGTCTCTAAGGCCCGATCTCTATGTCCCCGACCCTCCCCCCTGTGATCCCCCTCCCCAATAGGATTCATTCCCCCGCTGTCGTTTTCTTCCCGCCCCTCCCTTTTCATCCCCCCCTTTTTTTTTTTATTTATTTTATTTTTTTTATATATTTTATTTTTTATTTTTTTTTGTTTAGAACCCTCCCGTGTTGTGGAAGACCCATTTGCATGTGAGATATCCCCTAGTCCGGTCAGTCTCGTGGTGAGGCGTGGTGCCCTCCCATGCCAGGGGGGTAGGTAGAGTGTCCCCTCTGTTAGACTCGTGCCAATATGTTAACTACCCTATGTCAGAGTACCTGATTCTTGGGGTGCGGGTTTGCCTCCAGGTGCTTCTCCAACGTGGTTGTCATCTGTCTGTGTTGTCTCGGGGTTGTGGGGTCTGCCGGAGCGGTGTCAGTTGGTCTGGTATTGGGTTATTCCTCTGGGTTGTTTAGGTCTGGTCGGTGTCGCGGAGCTTCACCTTGAGAGTTCCATCTTCTTCGCCTTGCTTGTCGCTGCGGTTGTGGTCTTGAATCCAGTGGCATGAATACCCAGTTCGGAACCGGGGTTGGCGGTAGGTTCAGGCGTTGTAGGAATTGAGGAATGTCTTCTGGCCAGCGTGCGGAGACCCATTCATTATTATACCTAACTGTGATGCTAAATGGGTAACCCCATCTATATTGCATATTCCTCTCCCTCAGGATGGTGGTAACCGGTCTCAGGGCTCTTCTAGCCTCCAGGGTCATTGGTGATAGGTCATTGTAGAGTGATATTTCTGCGCCCCTGTAGTTCCAGTGGGCCCTGGATCTAGCTTTCCTCATGATCATGTCTTTGGTGGCGAAGGAGTGCAGGCAGCATATTATATCCCTGGGGGTTCCCTCCGTAGGCCTGGGGCGGAGTGCTCTATGTGCCCTGTCATATTTAATAATCGCTGGTGTGTCCTCCCTTAGGATGATGCGGAATAGGGAGGTGAGCATCTCTTCTATATTTTCCCCCTCTGGAGATTCAGGTATCCCCCTTACCCTGATATTGTTGCGACGACTGCGGTTGTCCTGGTCTTCTAGCTGTCGCCTCATGGCCAGTATGAGGGTGCCCTGGCGTTTGAGGGCCGTGTCTGTGGCTGTAGAGTGGTCTTCAGTGGTCTGTGCCCTTTTTTCCACCTGCTGTATGCGGTGTTCTTGTGCTTTAATTTCGGCCTTCAGGCCGTTCACTTCAGATTTAATTGCTTCATATATGTTGTTAGTCAGGTGGGTGAGGTCATCTTTTGTGACCATCTTCTTTGCCATGCGTTTCAGTTCTGCTCCTATGTCTGCCAGTGTAGTTGTGTCGGCAGTGGAGCATGTAGATGCTGGCGAGGTCGGCGCCATTTTGGATGTCGGGGAGCTGGGGTCCGGGCCGCATGGCGCGTGGAGGAACTCATCCATCGGCCCCGTTTGCGATCCCGAGACCGAAGGTTTGGGGGTCTGGGGGAGGTCCCCTCTCTTTGTACGACCCATTGGTGGCAGTGCACGCCGGTGAGTAGTGGGGTGCTCCGTTCTGTGTGCTGTTGTGGAGCGGAGCTCAGCGCTTAGGCGGCCATGTTCGTCGGAGCCCAGGCCACGCCCTTTGCTGGGAAATTTTGCCCATTTATACAGTAGAGCATTTGTTGGACGAGAAGGACTGGTTCGCAATCTTCAGTCATCCAAAGGTGTTCAATGGGGTTGAGGTCAAGGCTCTGTGCAGGCCAGTCAAGTTCTTCCACACCAAACACATACAACCATGTCTTTATGGACCTTGCTTTGTGCACTCCGGCACAGCCTTGCAGGAGTAGAAAAGGGCCTCAGCATTCAGTGACCATGCTCTGTGACTGAATGTAGTCTTCCACGTTTTGGCCGAGTTGTTGCTATTCCTAAATAATTCTACTTTCGAAAAATACTGTTTTCAAAAAATACCACTTAGTATCAGGGATGACATTTCACGAACTGACTTATTGCAAAGGTGGCATCACAACTCCATGCTTGAATTCACTGACCCATTTTCTTTCATGAAAGTTTGTAAATGCAGACTGCATGGCTAGGTGAATGATTTTATACACATGTTGCAATGGGTCTAACTGAAACACCTGGATGCAATAATTAAGAAGTGTGTCCCAATACTTTATTCCATATAGTGTATAAAATGTAAAACAAAAAGTAACTAAAGAGCAATAAAAGGTCATAGCTAAAATTAAACAGTAGAAAACCTTGCCACGCTTAATTGTGCCACACCAACACAGTATTAGTGGGTGAGCACCATTTTTCTTGACTCATGCTAGCACATGTACAGGATCTCACAAAAGTGAGTACATCCCTAACATTTTTGTAAATATTTTATTATATTTTATTATATCTTTTCAAGTGACAACAGTGAAGAAATGACACTCTGTTACAATGTAAAGTAGTAAGTGTACAGCCTGTATAACAGTGTACATTTGCTCTCCCCTCAAAATAACTCAACACACAAAATTGATATTCCGCGGCATTTCCCCACATCGAAGATGGCCGCCGTTACCTGCAGTTCACGGAAGGTTGGAAACAGCAGAGACCGCGCAGCCTCAATTTCATACAAGATTGCAGGAACACAATCTTAATCCCTCCCTGCCGTCAGAGCCTGCCTTAGCACCTGCCCTGCCATCAGCCAGCCATTTAGACGTAGCTCTTCCATGGGAGAGCCCGCCCAGCCGTCAGCCAGCCCGCCCAACCATCAGCCAGCCCGCCCAGCCGTCAGCCAGCCAGCCCTACCGTAAGCCATTTTCTAACACTCATGGTAGAGGAGTGATAGAGAGTGGAGCTGATAGTTAAAGCTCTGTTATTGTCATAGATAGAGAGCTATGTTAGAGATGGACATATAAATCTCTATTAGGGAGGGACATAGAAAGCTCTGTTCGGTAGGAACATTGAAATTCTCTGTTAGGGACATTGAAAGACTCTGTCAAGGGCATTGAAATTCTCTGTCAGGGGCATTGCAATTCTCTGCCAGGGACATTAAAAGGCTCTGTCAGGGGCATTGAAAGACTCTGTCAGGAGCATTGAAATTCTCTGCTAGGGACATTAAAAGGGGCATTGAAATTCTCTGCTAGGGACATTAAAAGGCTCTGTCAGGGGCATTGAAAGACTGTCAG